TTGTGGATTCCAATATGTCTGTGCTGGCTCTTGTAGTTGTCAAAAAAGGGGAAAATGAAATAGCAGGCCTCACTGATGTCGTTGTTCCTCGTAGGTTAGGTCCAAAACGAGCTGGCAAAATTCGGAAACTCTACAATCTATCCAAGGAAGATGATGTTCGTCGTCTAGTAGTTCGCCGCCCATTACCAGCAAGAGACAGCAAAAAAGCAACGTCGAAGGCACCAAAAATTCAACGACTTGTTACTCCAGTAGTTTTGCAAAGAAAACGTAGACGTATTGCTTTGAAAAAGAAAAGGCAATCTATATCAAAGGAAGCTGCAGCAAGCTATGCCAAATTGTTGGCGCAAAGGAAGAAGGAATCTAAGGTTCGCCGCGAGGAAGCTAAACGAAAGCGATCAGCATCAATTCGGGAATCTAAAAGTTCAATTTCAAGTGATAAAAAGTAGTTGCAACTAAAACAGCAATAAAACATGTCACATAAATGCTAAATATGTTTTCTACCTTTGTTAATGTTAATGTACGTATTTTAAAATGGCTTTAGTTGTAACCTCCTTGGCTTGGTCGATAGGATTAATTGTTTGTCAAAAAATGAATTTAATATTTAAGCGACATGAGAATCATTACGGCGCATGTGAAACGAATAAATATGCATTTTTGTAGAAGAAAGTATCTGGTCTGAAGGAGAAGCAAAGTTGATTTAAAAATATGGACAAAAAATTTAATTTAAAATGTTTTTTTAGCATCATTTAATTTTAAGCATATTTATTGGTACATTTTATGAAACAATCTAAGAATTGGTTTTTTGAACACTGCATAGCTTGAGAGAAAATGTAGCAAGAAATATTTGTAAAATAAGGGATTATATGAGAAATGAACAGACATTTAATATAAGTAAAGTTTTCTGCAGAAGTTTGAAATAAAATTCAACTTTTACTGTTATTTTAAAACATTTATGTACATGATTATAAGCATTAAGTGGAACCGCCTTTGTAGGGGTAACGGATAAATTAAGGGTTTTTTCAATTACACATGCAGTGCTTTCGACTTAAACGTCAAAAACGACAGAGGTTCCAGAAACGTATTGGAGCCAGTGTGTGTATTCTATATTAACGAAGACAGGGTATCAATGAAACGTTTAACTAAAGATAGTATATAGTCATAATCACTCACTTTAATTAATCATATGAACTCCTTAAACTGCATTTGCATTGCATGCGGATTTTAACTTGCGTGTTCGTATTTACGCTCTGAATCAAACAACTACCTCGTATGAAAATTGCATTTTATATTTTCATTTTAAAAATATCGCGCAGAATTTGCGCGATACTCTTGATTTTTATATTATATAACGCAAGTATATCAGTTATTTGTGAATTTTAAAATAAAAAACAAATTTTAAGAGTTATTTCTGCGCGAAAAAATAAAAGGCATATAATAATAATTATTTTTGATGAATATAATAAAAATCAAATTTAATTATTATTTTTTGAGTTTTTTTTAAAATGCAAATGATAACAGTTATAAGATGATTTTTATTTTTTTTATGATAGCTATTATGGTCCCTGAATTTTTATCTTTTTATTTTACTTACACAGGTAGATCAGTTTTCGAATATGTTTTAATAAAATTATTATAATAAATTTAATATATTTAAATATTTATTTAATATACGTTAATAAAATTATTATTATAATAAGTTTATTATAACAAAAATATTATAACAACTTTAATATATTTAAAATTTTTATTTATTTATTTTATCCACACGGATTTTTTTGCAAAAATGAGAGCGTATACTATTATTATTTAAAACAATAGAATAATGAATGGGATTCGTTGAATAATAATCGTTTAAAATAATTTGTTGTAATTATGCGTAGGCAAAACATCGCTTCTTTTTTATTGTAACATCTGCGCAATTATAAACTATTATTACAGTTTATTAATTGACGGACATTACTATCCTAATAAATACAATATTTTTTTAATATAAATTATAAATATTAGTTATTTAAAATGTGTATTTTTTATTTAATAATATTTAATAAAATAAAACAAACATTACACACATATAATTTTCTGCATAAAATTCCAAAAATAACACAAAATTGTACACTCAAAGCAAATTCTATCATCCCTCAAACAACTTGTGCGATGCACGTTTGTTTGCATTTTGTGCTCTCACTTTAACTTTTGTTCACGAAGTCTTCGAAGAATTTCACTGCGAATAAATATCGCAAATCTGGATATTCGAAGACTTCGGATTTACAAGAAATCCGGATTTATTTCCAACTTCAAAGATTTCGTTGAAATCCCATTATTCGAATAATTGAAGAACTTCGATTTTTAAAAAAAGTCGAATATAAACAGCACTACTCTAGAGTAAGATTTTTTTCATATATTTTTACTTATTTGATTAATAACTTCTATAATTGTCAAGAAATAAATATGGGACAACTGCATTACAGACATGCAGAAAATTTATTTTGTTACTAAATAACAAATGGTATTAAGATAAAAACTCGATAATTCAGAAAACAAATACTTGAACGTCTTAAGATGCATTCACATCAATGCGAACGCTTGTGAACGAACGAATATTTGCAGATAATCATGCTTACAAAAATTCGTTCGTTCGCCAGAGCTCGCTTTGGTTTGGACCAAAGAATACTTTTACAAGAACGGAAACTCCGCCCACTTTCATTTAAACGAAGAGAAATTTATTACATTTTGGCACACGTATGGAATACATGTGATTTTACCACGATAACCACGGTTGCCACTTATGGTACTTTAGTATCAAAATTGGTACTTTTTTTTCCGTTTGGTACTCTGGTACTCATGTTCAAAAAATGGTACATTTTCGGCGACCCAACTTTATTGTGGATATTTTCAATTAATTTTTTTTATAAATGTAACTTATATTGTTTTATACTTTTTGTACATTTTATATAAATTGTATTTTCTTATAAAAAGACAATAGAAAAATTTTGGACCTTTTTTTACAGAAATGGCACCTTTTTAAACCAATTTTGGTACAGAAAAAAATTTTCAAGTGGCAACCGTGACGATAACATCGAATTACTCTCTTTTGGGGTTGCAGTATATTAATTTCTTACTACTTGCTTATTATATGCTTTCCTTTTAATAATATAAAAAAATTGTGCGTACCTTATTTGGTTAATAATATCACATCACCACGGTTGCCACTTGAAAATTTTTTTCTGTACCGAAATTGGTTTAACAAGGTACCATTTCTGTAAAAAAAGGTCCAAAATTTTTCTATTGTCTTTTTATAAGAAAATACAATTTATATAAAATGTACAAAAAGTATAAAACAATACAATATCCACAATAAAGTTGGGTCGCCGAAAATTTATAATTTTTTGAACATGAGTACCAGAGTACCAAACGGAAAAAAAAGTACCAATTTTGGTACTAAAGTACCATAAGTGGCAACCGTGCACATCACGTAAACAAAATATATATTGTAACAACATAAATATATGATAAATAAATATATAAATTAATATATAAACATTTAAATCAGTCAACTTTAATCAGTTTAGTTTGCTTAATCATGTAATATGTATTCATAATTCATAATTTTAATTAATTTTTTCATATAAATTTTAAAGTATTTTGATTTATTATGTTCGGCAACAAACTTTTGTAGAAGAGGATTTTTTTATAAAATTAAAAAAACAGTATTGAATATATCTTATTAATGATTTATATTTTCTTAAATATTTTTTGAGCGTATAAAACATTGTTTCTAATATAATATTGAAATAATATCATTAAATGCTGTTATGATGTGTAATTAATAATAAAAACCGAAGCTACTACCAAAATTCTTTTTTATACGGCAACTCTCAAGTGGTGAATGATGAATTATATTTCTCTGCATAGGGAAATTTTTTAAATTTAGTGCTGAAAAATCTATTGATGGGTGGGGGTGTACGCGCATTCGCTCTAAATTTATGTGATGAATGGTACATATTTTTAGTTTGTATGCATTTCTAACTGATCAGTAGAGATGAATCTGTTGATGGGTGAGGATGCACGCGCATTCACTTCAAATGTATGTGGTGAATGATGCGTATTATTCGTTTACATACATTACTGTATGATTAGAATTATATGAATTTTTTAAGTAGGAATATTTTTATATGCAATTTAGTAAAAAAGTATTTTATAAATATTGAAAAATTTTTAATATACCATCATATATATAAAATATATTTATTAATAAATATTAAAGTATTTAAGAATATTAGCTGGGTTTAATTAAAAGAAGTACAAGTTGTACTCATAATTTATTATTTTTAAGAATTGAAATAATAATAACAATAATTTAATAAACATACAAATTTATTAAAGGCATTTGTTTAAAACAATATATATTGTTTGCGTATATAAGGAATAATATTTAAATAAAATAAATTGTCTTTTTTGAATAATATACTAAAAATATGTTCAATATGATATTAAAATCTGGGACTAGATTATTGTACTGGCTAATTATAAATATTAATTAATATTTTTACATGTAAAAAATTAAAATTTAAAAACAATATTAGAAACAAATTTATAGCATTTTACTTAATAAAAGAATAAAATTGTGATATAGTAGTTAATTTTGAAAAATATTCTTATAATAATAACATGAAATTATGTGAATTTTTATTCAGAAAACACAAGTGAAGGTGTATGTAGTTAATTAAATCGAAAGGCTATCGCATTTATAGATATATTTCCTTATATATTTGAATATAAAAAACTATTAAAAAATTTTTAATATCTATGTAATTTAAATTTGTGCACATTAGAAAAGAGTACAAGTTTAACCTTTAATTTGATATATCATGCACTACTATGGTAATTTCAAAAATAGAGTTACGGGGCCATATGCAGGATGATGTTTTGAGAAAAGTCAAAATAACGGTTTTTTGCAAATAACTCAAAAACGGTACACAGGAAAAAAAATCGTTGTGATTTTCGAGTTCTAGGGAAAATTTCCCTATAAGAAATATAAGTCTCGTCTTTGGAAAACAAAACTTTTAATTATTTGTAAACTAGTGTTATTTAAATCCTGCAGTGGTTTTACGACAAAGGATTGAATATTTATTACATATATATTTAGAAGGTTAATCAGTTGCACGTATAGAATATAAATACTCTATAGCATCAGGATATATATGTTTATGACATGTATATATCCTAGTAATAGAATACATATTTATAATTATTTAAATCCTGCGGTGGTTTTACGACAAAGGATTGAACATTTATTAGATATATATTTAGAAGGTTATTAAGTCGCACGGATAGAATATCAATATTCCGTAGCATCAGAATATATATGTTCATGACAAATATATATTCTAAATAATTAAGGATAATTCTTTTTCTTTCCTTCCACTAGGTGACCTAAGAAAAGCTACGCAGAATCCACGAAGCTCATGCACAGACTCCACGACATCCGT